TTTTTTCTGTTTCTTCGTGGGGTCGTGTATGCCGGGTTTTGAGACCACGGGCTCCCAATCAATATTGTCTTTTAGAGCGAATGTGAGAAACAACAACAACAACAACAACAACATTGGGGTGGCCGAAAAAAAAAATGGGGTGGCCGAAAAAAAAATTGGGGTGGCCGAAAAAAAAAATGGGGTGGCCGAAAAAAAATTGGGGCGGCCGAAAAAGGAAAAAAAGCGGCCGAAAGAGGAAAAAAAAAGCGGCCGAAAAAGGAAAAAAAAACGGCCGATGGAGGACAGGCCTAACTGGCACCCCCCCGTAGATGTCTAAAACACGGAACTCCGCTTTCGTAGATTTCTCTCGTAGATCCTACGCCAGCACTGCACCACTCCAGCCTCCAGCCTCCAGCCTCCAGCCTCCAGCCTGCTGCCTCCCTCTCTGTTCACACGGCAAGGTCTTGAGCCACTAGATGCGGCGTGGACGTTCAGCAGGCCAGGGTAGGTCTGAATCAACCCGTAGCAGCACTACTGCCGAAGCTCGTCCTGCACGTCAGGGCGGCAGGTGCGAAATCTCGGATATGGTCATGCACATTGGCTTGGCTTCCATGTCGTTACTGGTGTGTACCCTCGTTACCTCGTGGGGTTTTCGGCCGTGTCGCTGCACTTGCCACTTGCCAACATACCAACACGGGCTCGGCCAAAGAGGCGATTCTATTCATTTTGTGTATCATGAGATTCCAGCAATGCCACACATACTCACCCTCGGTTCACGACATCAGTTTTTCTGCTTCATCGGCACCGGTGACGCTGCATGGTGCTTTGGTCGTCTCCTGCGACTACTCTTTGGTCGGCTACTACAATTGCACTCGACTCTCGCGGTGGAATCCCATGTGGCTCCCATATTCCCAAGACCATATGTATCTTTGTTTTCCTATTGTTCAACGCTGCTGCTGCTGATGCTGTATCGTCTTTTTGCCGTTCTGCCAACTACGGCTGTGCGGGCTCCGGGGTGTCTCGCGTGCCCACGCAATACAGCAATAGATCCGGTGCGGCGGAGGATAGTGAGGAATTGCCGGCGTGGAAGCGGCATCTGTCCTTCCGCGGGCAGCCGTACCGGTATGCCCACCACCAGAATGGGGTGATGGGCCACTTTCAGGTGTTGTACATCGCTTGGGCGCCGTATACCTAAGGACCAACAACCTTACGTACAAAGTACACAGCAGTGGTCATCGCTTAGAAAGGAGAGTTGTTCTGGGCCCTTCCAGTGCTCCACTTCCTCCCCTCCCACAAGCAGGAAATATTAACGTCCCGTTCGCGTCTCTCAAGTGCCGTGTCCCGATGGGTACCATATCTCCCCCCAGCTGACACAATATCACGTTCTTTCGTGTACATCAATTGCCGTCGCTCTCTCGACATCCCCGTGGGAGTCGTTGTACCCGTCCGCGTTGCCCCGACACGGGATGCTTGTCTTCACGCCTTTTGCCTCCTGTTTCGCCCCTAGCATGTGTGTGCGTCATTGATAGCGTCGACCGCGCTATCCGGCTGACCAATGCAAAAGACTTCAGTCTCATTGTCGCTGAAAACAGAGAATGCTTGTGTGTATCGTTCCACATGTTGCGAAAGTCAGGGTTTACACGTTTTACCTGGTAGAAGTATGTACTTAGGTGCTTTTGTTGGCCATCAGCCGGGGTCAAATAGGGGGAAGGCCAGTGATTTTCTTCGGCTCTATAGTCAATGTATAGCAACCACCAGTAGACTACAGAATCCATGTTGTTATTGTTTCGATGGTTTATTTTTTGTCAGGTACGAGTCGTGGCCGCCTCCGAGATTTCGGAGCCGGACTGGTCTCGTGTGACGGGCAACCTCAACATCAATGCCATTGCTGGCAGCGGGTCGGGCACAGGGAGCGCTCTCCCCTACGTCGCTGTGTCCCTCGGGAAAGTAAGCCATCGCTCCGGAGGCTGCCAAATGGCACCGTTCAGTTCACGTACCGTTCACACCATGTGTTTTCGTGACCCCAAAACGAACCTGACGTAAACGTTTCGTTGTTTTCGAAGTTCGAACAATGGGATTTGTTGTGCGGTGTGGTGGACTGGGATGGCAGTCAGTTCAGAGGTTGAATCTCGTCGACTGTATCTTTTTTACCAACACTCATTTCGGCAGGTTTTCCCGCGATACTTTTCCCACGGTAACACCAAGGAAATCTGGAATTGGTGGTACGGTGCTGAAGTAGCCACTACCATCCGAACACACATCAACCAAATGGTGTCCTCCCGTTTCCATCCATATCGTTGTCGCCCGAAACAGATGCTCCAAGTATTATCCAAACAACATCGCGAAAAAATGGATATGTCATTCGAAGTGGCTTTCAACGCGGGCGGCACCATACCGTGGAGATGGCCGCTGACCTCGCTCAATGGACCAATGTTGCAAAAGTCACAGCAGGGGGTTGACTCTCGCCATAAAACAACAATGTTTTTTGGCGTTGTCAGCGCCCACTCTTTCTCTTTTAACTCCCGCAACGATTACAAGCAAGCGAAATGCTGCAATGCTCCTCACGATGGCTATCTCTCATCGCAGGTGTCTTTCTAGCTCCAATCTTTGGTGGCAGCCCCCGCTGACCGTTCCGTGGCCGCCGCCGCGTGTCTCTGTCAGTACACCGTAAGGAGCTCGGCTCAGGAGGCGCAGCCGGACTCTCTCGGGACCATGCGCGCCTCATGGCCGCGGGGAATGCTGTCGGTGGAGGTGATGAAGGGGGGCATCCGGCCCGGCGAACTCCCCCGGCTTGCCGTTCAGGTCCGCGACAATGCGTTGTGGAAACTTTCTGATGCGATGTGCATCGACGTGTATATGTATCAACATTGGGCGTGCGAGCTGCGTCGTCCGATGTACCACGCTTTCGCTGCTTTGACGCTTGGTCTTGGCGCTGCATGGTGTTGGGGCAGGCAGGCACCATGTATGTTGAGAGGCGGTGAAATCAGGGGGATTGAGAACCACGAAGGACAGCCGTCACCGCACGCACAGCATGGCAACACTCGTGCGGGCCTACTCTTTTTTCGAAGGACACGCTCACCTTCCGATGTTATCTTGGCTTTTGTGAGTACGCTGGGTGTACTGTTTTTTCGCTGTCGTAAGGAGGCGTAAGTCTTCGTATTTGGCTCACTGACTGCGAAGTACGACAAGTTTCCGCATTGGCACAATTGAGAACAACACAAAACACACTGTTATGCGCCCTTCCTCCTGTCTGAGTCTCCAGCTGATGTTCCTAGAAAACAACCGAAAGTTGTTTAAAAAGTAACGAGGCGACACTTGCTCCACGAACACAAAGAATCACGTCTGCTCGTGTTCGGCGGGGCGCAGGTGTACAACCAAGATAGCATCGTCCAATCGGTGCTGAGCTCGGCCGTGAGCACGGTGATGGGGTCTCGGGGAAGCCTACTTGGGGCAGGGGAGCTGGATGTGTCTTCGCTTCTCTCCGGCGGGGCACACCTTATCGACACCTGGATAGAGCTCGAGGTGCGGTGGAGCTTGCCCTGTAGTGTTGCAGTGGAATGAATGGTTTGGTCATGCGGCAAAAAAGTTGGGTGCTTGGTTTGGGGGCACAAGGGGTCGTTGGTCGTGAGGACCTTGCGCGTTGCTCGCGTTGCTGCTTGATGTTTATTGTCGCAGTTGGTCGTGATGATTTCGTGTCGAATTTTTCGGTGTTAATGTGGGTATTGGTGGCGAGTGGGATTGATTTTGTCGAGCAATTGCATTCTATTATGATAGTAATTCCTTTGGTTTGCTGAACAACGAAACACATGCCCAGGCGCCTATCCAGCTGGCTCTCGGTTCAGTCCACGCCCGTGATTTTTTTCTATGGAACGGTGGCTCCCCTAGGTAGATGTACCGCATCATTGCTTCGGCGACCGCTGAAAGAATTCAGCGATCCCTGCCCCACCCTCGCCTCCTTGTCCCACGACACTGTGATCCGGGCTATCTGTGCCGGACAACGGGATAATTCACTCGCTACATGCCGCCGTAAAACTGCTTCTGTCCGGCCGACCTGTGTTAGCCGAAAGGGCGAGTACATGTTCACGTGGAGTACGAGCCGAAGGGCATTCAGCCGGAAAAAAACGACGTCGTGTTTCTCGAGAGCTTTGCGAGGTACGAGCCGCCCAAGCCGGTCACCCATCTGTGTGTGTGTTTTCATTCCATTCCACAGGCAATTCACTTCAACGCCAGTGGTACATATTTTGTGCCTTCTAGTTCTACTTACAGTAGTTATGCTTCTCGCGTATCATTTTAAGCGCACCGGTCTGGAAACACAAGCGGTCGTGAAGTGAATGATACTTGTTGATTTTTGGTATTTTTTCTTCTGGCGCCGCAACGGGACGATGTCGCTCACTCGAAACACGTGAACATATCTTTTGTCGACCTGCCCAAATCCCCCGTCACACACCAAATAATGACTTAGCCGTTGTTCTTAATGACTGTTGCAGCATTTCCCCTGCGCAACCCCAGCGACAACCACGGTGTAGGGAGCATCCGTTGAACCGGATAGCGCAACTCTGGGCGCAATCGGTATCACCGTCCGTCGTCACCCACAGGAAAATTACACTTTCGACGTTAGCACCACCGTCAATATGAATCACGCCAACCGCAAGCATCAAGCACTGTTGCCAGGAACACGTGAGGTTGGTCATCACGACCGACGACCTCCCATGCCCATGAAAAAACTCCTAATAACCTTGAACCGCCACTTCTCCTTACAACCGAACATGTTTGCGTTTTGCATCACCCGTTACCGCCGCGTTCCTGTGTACGGATACCCTTTGCCTCGCGTCTCGGGGGTGGTGGGCTTTCCAGGTGGGGCGACAGTCTCGTGATACCCCCCGGCGTTCCGATGGTGGTGTTGGACTGCAAGCCCCCCTTCCTGCTGGTCGCGTTCGAAACCTTCACGGGGAGAGAGGGGCGGGTAAGGCTTCACCGCAACACTGTCTCGGTGGTGGAGAGGCTCAGCTGGCTCGACGTGTCGCTGGCCATGCTTGCAAGGTGACCTTGCAACACGCGGCTCTCACGGGCGGTGGGACACACCTAAGCCAGACAAAACATGAAGTCTTTCCTGGGTGAACGTGCACAAAGCTGTGTAGAAGTTGCGCTGGGAGGGCGATCCCTTACACTCAACGCTCGCCTGACTGTACATACTGTACCGAGTCTCGGCATTGACAATCATGTACCTGGTACCTGCGAATCCGTGCTCGAGCTGGATGTTACCGCTACCACGCGGTCATTTGAAGGACCACAAGCACACAATGCTACAAAAATCGAGGATGGTTGATTGGAAAGTTGTCGATAGAGATGCCCCGGTGCTCCTGAAGGCCGGTTGGTTGGTGTTTCGGAAAGCGCTTGCTTGCACCGCGCCATGACCACACTGCGACGAGAGCTCGGACCAATGAACTGCGTGAGTCCAGCAACGCAACGCATGTCACTCCCCGCTAGCGCGACGACCTCAGTTCCCGCATGGTACTCATGTTGGGAGTGTGATTTTTTGTCGTGCTCCCCATTTCCCCTGCCCTTGCCAGATAGCTGCTTCACTGCGTCGAGGTGTTGGCACCCTTGTTTACCACTGCAACCTCCCACACCAAACACATCGCCATCGCAGCATGTGACATGACCTATTGTAGCACACCCCACGGCCGCTCTTCGCTTTCCGACCACTGTGTTCCGCCGGGGCCAAACCGCCCGCCCACGTGCGATGCATACCAGGCCGGTGGACGCGCTTCTGAGAACAGAAACCGGAAGTTGGTGCGTCCGAAAGTCTCGCCCTCTGCTGCAGCCCTTGATCGTGATGGTTGCGCCCCTCCAGGCGTCTCTGCTGGTGGCGTTTTCTGCGCTAAAAGTTGCCTTGAAAGGCGTGCTTATGGGCACCCATGCAGTCTATCAGGAGGCTGTTGTAAACAATTGAGTGGTTTTGTGATTGTCTCTTTCTTGTGAGAACTGTGCGGTGTGGCTCGGCTTGTGAGAACTTTGTGGTGTGGGTCGGGTCCTGCTGTGTGAATGTTTGGAACTACTTTGTTGTGCTGCTGCTGTATTGGCACATACGTGTGAATTGCTTTCGGGTTGTCGCTATTGGTTGGATGTACAGATGGTGTTGCTGCTTCTGTGTTGGTGTTCCCCGGGAAAATATGCGTCACAGTAGACGCATATTGAAAATGTATTTTCCCGGGCACGGATATCTTGCCCGTTTTTAGGAATGTTCGGTTGCTGGTGACATGCGATGAAGTGCATGATCAAAGAGGCTGGGATGTATTTCACATCACGCTCCCAAGAGCGTTTGGCCGCAGATGTTTTTCACCTTTGTGAACTGAATGACACAAACACGGGTTGTCTCCCCTGTTACCTTGGGCGTGCGATCTCTTTTTCTGCGAGGCACGTTTCAGTTGCGGCGTAAGAGGACGACTTGGCAAACAAACGGTTTGGTTGACGATGTATACCAGGTTGCAACCGTCCTATCATATGCATCCGAGCATCAACTTTTATTGTCCGTGGGACGCAAGGAAACCTACGATCAAGCTTCCGTGAAAGTTTGCTCGCATCGCCAAACCTGAGAAGGCCGGCGCAGGCTCCGGACGAGACGCATTAGCAGCACCTGCTTTTGGTTTATTTGTTGGGAACAATCGTGTTGAGACCTACCCTTCAAAGTCTTGAGACGGCAGCACTACTACCGTTGTGGGCCATAACAAACACGGCAACAGTAATGGATCACTCATCTTCCGCGTACGGAAGTAAAGATTAACCCACCTATCTTTACTGTGCAACAACGACAATGGTCTGGATGACAACTGAAATAAAAAAATATTTACAACCAGTGAATTCACTTCTTGTGCCCCAACAACTCTGCAACAATTCATAGCGGGCTAAGTTCCCAAAGGAGACCTTCAGATTTTGTCCGGAAACAATCGCAAACGCACCGTGTACTAATACTTCCTCTAACAGCTTGAAAGTCGAGTTATTCGTCGCCCCAGTACGAGCGCAAGAGAGCCCCAGCTCGGCCACGGAAGCGTTTGTGTCGGGGCACGAGGTGGAGATGGGGAGAACGAGTTGGGGGCTGGTTGGCGTAGGCCGGAACGTGGTGCGAAGGTGTTGAAACGGCTCCTCTGTTGCTGCCCGATAAGGAACTGACGGGCGTATTGGAGGGTTTTATTGTGCGAGGTGGGAACCCTTGCGCCGACTCCGACGGCTTTCTCTTCGGCTGAGTTTTTTTGCGCTTGGCCAAGTTCCAGGCAATGAACGCGGTGGAGGAGACGGCTACCAGAAAGATTACGACAACGAAGACGAGGTAGATCCAAAATTCTCCTTCAGAAGTCTCCCTCATGCCGAAGGCGGGGCAGCCACCGCCTATGGTGCTTTCGTTGAGTGAATGAATGTGGTTGGAGGGCGAACGGAGGGAAAGAGGACAAGCAGGCAGAGGGGACCATTCTGTGTCACATTGGCAACGGGGTAGGGGGGGGCGGCCGACATTTTCGTAGTCTCCTTTATCTACACGATCTTTGGATGTAGCGAAAAGTAACGTACCGAAACTATAGTACACAAGTAAAGCAGCGTTGTTTCGTGGTGTCAACACCCATCTTCGATTGTTTTTAAGTGAATATTCTACCGTACAGTAAGCGAGTGGTTCTCTGGTGAATTCGCAACCAACCCCAGTCAGAAGTAGTAACGTTTACTATAGAAAACGTGCTTCATTCAGGAGAGTTTGTTTCGAGATGGAGGCGTAGAAGGCTGTCCTTGTGTAGTCTTGCATGATGAACGGTACGTGCGCCTTTGACCGTGGCGTCGAACGAAGCATTTCAAAGGGTGAAGGGCACACTCACCAAACAATGGTGACGTCGTTCGAAGACTCGGCGCGTTTCGAGTAGTCAGAGTAGACATGTGCGCAGCAAGGAAGAGCTCCTTGTTGTGCGAATGAATGAGCCTTCTTCGCCAAGGCGTGCACCAGCGCGGGCACCATGGGATCCGCTCCTGTGGCATTGGCACCGTAACAGAGCGCAAAGGAGGTAGGACTGTAGACTGTTGGTGACGGAAAACACGAAGGAATCTGTGAAGCGTGTGAAAGCTATAGGCTAAGAAAAACGACATCCGGATGACGTGAGTTAGACCACATGCACTTGTCCTTCAGAAATGTGTCAACGTTTCCTACTGATGTTTGCTACGGGTTGTAGTGTAGATCATGGGGTCGACGAAAAAAAGCAGGCCGCCGCGTACATCCCAATCAATCCCATTGATCAATGCACGAGCGACGAGAGCTGACTATATAAAGATGACATGGTAAATGCGTGGCGGAAGTCAGAATGCCACAAAGCAACGGGGCGTAGACTAGACAGTAGTTGTTCTTTTCATCGGTACAACGTGATCCTGAGTTCCTCGATGAATCGTCTTCTCGAGCGCTCCCGGCAAACAGCATGGTTGCATTCGAGGCAGCGTAAATCGTACTCCATTCTGACGACCGCAATTTGATTTGTCAACCTCCTCGTCCACGGTTGAAGTATTCCGAAGGAAGTCTCCACAACCTTTATTGTGCAGACAACAGCTGGCGTCGGGGATTCATCGAGAACCGACGCACCTGACTGACGGCAGGCTGTACCCCGTGATGCTGTCGGGAGAGTGTGCACAAGCAGCCGGCGGCAAGCACACGACCTACAGTAGAAGTTGCTGCTGTCGTTGAAGTTTGTATGTATGTCCTGCGAATGGTACATTCTGTGTTATGCGATCAAAGCTCAACTTTATCCTCCGTAGACTAGACTACATACAACACCCAGCGTTGTGTTGATAAAATTCCTCGATTTTTCATGTAGGTACGGTAAGGTTACGAGGTGATAGAAGAGCGAGCGTTACATGCGCCGTTTCGGGATATGCGGAGCGAACAAATTTTGCGAAAAATACATCATACCGGGTACGGAGTACGAAGTACACGCCATGCAATCTTGTTTGTACAGAGCATCAACGAAGGACCACAAGGATACGTATGCATGCACAGTAGACGTTAAACCAAGAATTCACGCGAAGAATCATCATGTCGTTGTTCGTTCTTGCAGGAACCATAAAATCCACCTCGATCAAAAGTCCAGGATACCTTTTCGAGTGATTCATGGTATAGCATGAGCTTTACCTGTATTATCCAAGGTCCTCGAGCAGCAGCATGTATGTGCACAGCACAAATCCAGTGTGTACGTAGCAATGGTAGTTCTTCTGTGGGTACAGGGTGGACAAGAGAAATTGGCGGCCATCAATAAGACGTTGACCATGTTCGGAAGGTTCCTGCATCGATGTTTTAGTATAGTATCTCGATTTCTCATATGACGTGAGAGCATAAAAAGGTTAGATTTCCCGCCGTTGTGTACCCCACAGATGTATAAATGGATTGCATGGAGAATTGTACCATGATGCCTTATGGAGAAGGAAGGTACCAGAACATTTGAGACCCTTGTGAAGAAAGGGGATACTACGAACAGTTTTCACTCTGTCTGGCGGAAACATGTCGAACCAACGTATAACGCATGCACGTCCCAGACTGGTAGCTTGTCGTCCAACCTCCTCCGTGCGCCCCCTGCCCAGGGAGCCCGATGACTAGAAGGCGTGTTCACGTTGCTATTCCGCATAAATCACTAATTTGTCCTTGTTGGGCAGCCGGGTAGTGCCGTCGATGCTAACCAAAAAAGACGAGAACGTCATACCTCAACAAGAGAAAACCTACAGAGTACTTCCACCGCCGCATGCCAGGGTACTCCCCCCTCTACCTTCGCGGCTTCCGTCCACGTTAACGTCGGTGCTGTGTTTTTCGGTACCGGGATTCCGAAACAACATGGATTGGTTTTCGTAGATCCGTGGTCGGCCCCGAATGCCTTCAGGTCGTCAAGCACACACTTCGGCCAGTTCTGTTCCTGTCCCCCCCTACGTCGCTTCTCCCCCCCTGCCAGTTCGCCGAACATCAGTCGTTTCGGGAGTCGCCCGTCCGGCTGCCTTGCCAATGCTCCCGCGAACAGTAGGCGTCGTTGTCGGATCGTGGCTTCAACGCTCTGGCATTCGGCCCTCTTCAGCGTCTGGGCGTAAGAGAGCTGCCGGTAGGTGTCTTTCTTGCGCTTGTACCCGATAACTCGAAGGAGCAGTCGGTGGTGTATCGACCGCAGCGTCTTGATAGTGGCCGCTGAGTGGTGACCATGTCATGGAACCGTACACCAGTGCCTCCATCGGCACCCGAAGTGGGTTCGCTACGTGCGTGCTGCATGCTAGTGTTGACGACACCATTCTACGCCTCTGTCACTCCCTCTCGCGTCTTTCTCATGGCTCCGGCGCAGGAGGAAAGAGTGGAGAGCAAAATAGAAAAAAAACTCCCTGCAGATTTCCCTAATGTACCCCCGGCTTGTGTGCCCAAACTTACCAAACGGTGAAAGAAAATGACGCCCAGAAAAAAATGAATGACCACACACACGCACTTGTGTGGAATTGGAGAGCCACCATCAACTGTTTACCGGTGCCCGTAATGAGACGCGAAGCACGTTGACCTTGTAGCATTGGAAGTATTATGTGCCCCTGCGCAATGTCAAAACAGTGTGCCTGCCCGCTACAATCGGCCCTGAAAAAGCCTCACGTGCGCCATCAACAATGATCCCGCGAGGAAAGTCTAGGTCAACCGAGTTGGAAACAAATGAACTGCGTTGCAGGGGTGGACTATCCTAAAACGACTATCCTCTACGTTTTGCTTGGACACACAGCACGTTCATGGACGTGCCTCTCTCTTATCTCATGTTGCTACAGCCAAGCACTCATCTGACGAACAAATCAACGACACGTGCCTGCGGAAACAAAACAACACAGGCACATGTGCTCTCCAGCAGCAACATGTATTTTTAGTGGCCGTGAGCGGGAACAAGAAACAACGCCATAAATTACAATACACAAAAAACAATAAAACAATCAGCAGCCGAGATGGTTTTTCGCGATCAATCGAAATCATGTCGATTGCAAGAACTTCCTTATCCTCTGCAGCAGCTCGGCTTTGATATCGTCGGGAACGGTTGCTCTGCCTCTCGGAGTAATTTCGTCCACAAGCTCATCGACAGATATCTTCTCCAACCCTTTGCCTCGGATTATTTCCTTGCAGTGCTCCTGGTATCGGCGGTGAACAGCGTGTAGGGAGTTTTCATAAGCGTGATATTACTCGTTGAGTGGCTTCATGGTATGCCGCTCAGTTTGCGGTTTTCCTGGTTTTGGTGGTTGGAGATCAAAGACAATCAGGATTAGTTTGAGGGGAAAGAAATTGTGGAGTGGCTTCCTGGGATTCTGCTCCTTTAGGTATTGCCCAGGCCGCAAGTTGTCCATGGTTGAGAAAGCTCCGGGGTATGCACATGTGGAGAGGGCACGTACGGCAAGGGTCGACGTTTTCTTACCGATGTATCGAACGGCTTGAATCGCATGAATTCACGCCGCCACAACCGGCGAGGAATCGGCGCCGGGTCAAGGCTGGTCGTTGTGATAATTTTCGTAATCAAGGACGGTTAAGCCAGAGCATAATTCGAACAGTCTTTCTTGCCCGAAGAGTGGGCGCGGGTTCTGGACCTTGTGTCGCAATTTTTGAAAATGATGCCCTAACCAGCGATCAAGCAACTGTTGTCGGGGTAGGCTTTCTGCTGTTTTGTGTTCCAGGAACCACGCCCAATCAACTCACCCATGGAAGCACGCCAGTAGGGGAGTACTTCTACACAGCAGTTGTGAGCTTCAGTGGTTTCAATACCACTGTAGCTGCTAAACAGACATGTACTTCCACATCAACAATGCCTCGCGTGACACTCCGCGCAAAGTGACTGTAGTAGTGTTGGAACAAACCTACGATATACTGAGCATGCATACCCCTTCAGTTCGAGTCAAATTGCTTGCTTTCAACATCTACAAACGGGGTCACGGTTCCTACGCAACCGTCAGTGAAAACAAACCGCCGAACGCTCTAACAACGAGCACAGGACGACCTACGCGGCCTCTCGGGCCGAATCCTCTATTAAGTTGGCGGTTCTGAACCTCAGTTGCTAATAGCTTCAAATACCGAACAAAGCCGACAGATACAGCATGCCAAACGACTATTTCCCGATACTGGTGCACCATATATCTTGGTCGGAGGTGAAGTCTTGGGATGACCCGAAAACAACTTGAACCAATCAACGGCAACCAAGCGCATGATGTACCCCCCTTGTATGTGCGTATCGAACAGAAGCGGCATGCCTGAATACTGAAAGACACACCTTGAGCTCGTCCCGCCATCCGCACTGGATGAGACGTTCTCTCAGGAGGTCTTTGAGCCTCTCGCGCTCCCCGGTCTCTATGAGCTTCTGCATGATCGTCGCTCGCACCGCCTCATCCTTGCGTCGTCGTTCTTGCTTGCTGTAACGCAACACGCAAGACGCAAAGAGTCGACGGCGAATGACAACAATCGATGAAACGGACGGTCAAGATTGCAATCTCATAAATAGAGCCTGCGATTCTACAGTACCCACAGGGGAGATACTGCTGTAAATCGCTGTAAAATAATGCGGCTTGGGGAACCGTGCAGGTGTTGCCCCGCTAACGACATGATGTAATTGCTAATCCTCCACCCTTTTCTATTGATAGAGATGGATTCGTTGTTTTGCGCGAAGGTACACGTCCTAAGAAAAGCCAGAATAAATAAACATGCTGTTTTTGGAACTGGGCTGGCTAGACGAGGGCTGCTGCGTCGTCTGCGAAGTACACGGGCGGGCGACACACCGGAAACGGAAAGTGGCGGGGTGGGCTTTCTTCGGATTTGAGTTGCGCAAGACAACACACGACGCGAGCGATAACCAGGCATGGGAAAAATGAGAAGTTGCATAGGTATGCCAGATATGTACTCAAAAAAGGTATTCCCTCGCACCATATATGACCGAGCAAGTATTTAATCGCTGCTGGGGCTGGGTGTACAGCAGCGGGTAGCGACTTCTTGCCAAGGTCCTGAAAAGGTAGACAATATTTACTGCCTTGTATTGGCTAGACTAAAGTATAACAGTCTCCAGCAACGCGACGACGACTCCGGATTAGGCACGACAATGTTCTCCGGCGAGCCATCAGGTACCGCTGCGTTCGCGAGAGTTCGGGAAGATGTCGTATGCATACACTGCACTCCAAGGAGCCAAAGGTTGTGAATTGTGAAAGGCTATCTTGTACTTGTACGATTGATTGTCGAAAAAGCGGCTGCACACAAACTCCGGGAGTATGGTCACGGAGGCCGCAAAATACCGGACCTGACTTGCTCATTTTATCCCAGAGAAAATCACGACTTTCCACATGCATCATAGAAGTATGGGCGTAGACGTGTACTTGACGGCATTGTACTCCAAATGTCAAAACGGAGGAGGGAAGGAGGAAAACAACGGAGGGGAAACGGACAAAAAAAGGCGGCGGAACCATGTTGCCCTTGGCCTTCGGGGCATCCATCATCCAGGCAGTTGGCTGTCCAAGGATTCTCTCTACATTGATCAAGTGGACGGAAACTATGTTAGCAGCATCAAACACGTGAGGCAGCGATGCTGCTGACTATATCCCTCTCTTCCTCTCACACCCTGTGTGTGTGTGGTGCCTCTGTAGGTCTGTGGAGGTGCGACGTAAATCAAATTACGAAACAGGTCACCCATCTCAGCACAACAAATTGTGATCAATCTCTGTTCCTTAGCACGCTTTCTCGTAGAAAACCAGGTAGAGCAACACACCACAAGGCCGTTGAACAGCACCCCAGGGTGACCAAACGGACTCACTCTGACATGATGTGCGTAATACAGCTGTGAGCCCTCTTCTTCCGCCCTTAGCTGTTCAAACACGTGACGTGCGCAGGACGTGGGAGGTTGTGTGCGAGGTTGGCTAGGCATGGAGACCGAGAGAAGGTACCCCACATCCAGTTGGCGGAGCCCCCAAGCCTTGTTGTCCCCCCGCTCCTTGCTGCAGCTTTCCCCCTTCATTACAGCAACACACGCGATCATGAAGCTCGCTCTCACTCTCTCGGCTGTGCTGGGCGTCCTCTCCACGCGTGTAGAATGTTTCGTGTCTAGCGGAGGCTCTGCCCTCGCGTGCGGTGCCCGCTCAAACAAGCTAGCAACGAACAGCGCCTTCGTCCAGCCCATACCGAGGTAGGAACCACGTCGTTCGCTTGCTGTTTATGCAGGCTTTACTGGTACCGGTTTTACTTCTTGTGCACGATGGGATCGTGGCTAGGGCATCAACGGTAGTCCTGCGAGTGGGGTGCACTGCATTTTGAATCTCGTCAATTCTGCTGCTGCTTACGTGCCTGAAATCGTGTTCGTTGTGTACATTATCTTCTACTGCCGTGCTGCTGCATCGTTCCCGCTCTTAAGATAATGCGACATGCGACTCGACGTCTCTACGTTCTCACGTGAACCTTTTTTCTCACCTGGCACCAGGTACATGTCACACACCCGAGCGTAGTCCAACTTTGTCCTTCAGTCTCGGTGATATGTACCAAAGTGCAGTCACCCGGGAGAGATGTTTGGTGGTTTTGGTTTTGAAGGGGGGTGGTCTGGCGATATTCGATCGCGTGTGGCAAGTGGCATCATCGGCATCATCATGCCCGCGCGGTTCCTCAATTCGCAAGTTATCCACAATGGTCCAAGCAGCAGCACTTCCCTAGAAAAATACTGCGGAATAGTTGTGGACGATATAGAGTTTCGGACGAAATGAGGCCTCTGCTACGGCATGGAACCCACCCTGTCACCGAACGCTTTTCGATTTTTTGGGTACGAAGGGCAATGACGGCCGCTCTATCTTCGTTGGAGAAGTATGGGGATAGAATTCAGGCAACGACAGGGGATCAAAGGGCAAAAACATGAAGTGGGGCAGGTCCCATATGCCATAGCGGAGGAGGCCTCATTACATCCCAAACTCGAACGTACATCGTCGACAACTTTGCATATTCCGCAGTAAAATAATGTCGAAATCATGGAACCACGAAGGGGCTCCGTGGATGACAATAGCTTGCCTTCAAAGGGGCTTGGGAGAGAGCGCCCACTCGTGACAATCCTCCCGGACCCCGACGAGGAAGCACGCTGGTCGAACAACAGTAGACTACCATGCAGCTGAGCGCGACTCGGCTGGCCGCGGCCAAGGCCGTTCCCTCCAGGGAAAGCAGTAATAGAGGTCGTATGCTGAGATACGAGCTCGGCCAGTGGGGCCCTCCCGACTCTTGCCCTGGCGCGGGTGTGCACCAGCGAGGGCGCATCGTTGGAAGGCAAGGACAAGATCGGGGCTGTTCACCATGACTCTACCCCTGGTACTTGCGCCCGGTGTTCCCCGCTACTATGTTCGCCAGGAAGGCGTCAAGGTCCGGATGCCCTTTGTGGGCTTGCTGAAGGTGCCTTTTCACTCGGCGTCGTGATGGAGATCCTGACACATGTCGGAGTCACTCATATGTATCATCACATGGAGGTCGTCCAAGCAAAGGGAGTGCGTAAAAAGACACCTTCAGCAAGCTCGCAAAGGGCATCCGGACCTTGACGCCTTCCTGGCGAACATAGTAGCGGGGAACACCGGGCGCAAGTACCAGGGGTAGAGTCATGGTGACAGCCCCGATCTTGTCCTTGCCTTCCAACGATGCGCCCTCGCTGGTGCACACCCGCGCCAGGGACAGAGTCGGGAGGGCCCCAATGGCCGAGCTCGTATCGCAGCATACGACCTCTATTTCTGCTTTCCCTGGGGGGAACGGCCTTGGCCGCGACCAGCCGAGTCGCGCTCAGCTGCATGGTAGTCTACTGTTGTTCGACCAGCGTGCTTCCTCGTTAGGGTTGGGGAGGCCTGCCACGAGTGGGCACTCTCTCCAAGCCTCTTTACAGGCAATATGTGCTCATCCACGGAGCCCCTTTGTGGTTCCATGATTTGGACATTATATTACGGTAGCTATCTTTACAAGCAGCAAAGCTCCCGTTGTTTGTTGAGCCTGCGCTTTGCAGCATCACGTGTAGCAATCACATTAGAACTACAGGCGAGCCGTCCTCCCCCGTTTCGCTGACCTATGATGTCAAGTCCCACTGAAGGGTGACTATTATCAACACGCTTATCACCTCCCCCCAAACGCCGTCGTATGACATTCGAAGTCCTTAGACACACCGGGGGACAGCAGTTTGATTTTTGTGCCTCGGCATGTCATCGCGGGGTGGACAGCCGGGTATGGTATTTCTAATGTTCGCAAGTGCTTTTCTACCTTCACGCATTTTTTCGTCGCTGACAATCCCTCTGCAGCCGACGCGTGGCAACCGTGGAGCGGAGGAGGAGGAGCGGCGATCTGGGCATGTCCACGGTAGTCGTCCCCTCGGACTTCAAGCTCCCGATAGGCATCGCCGGGCTCGGGCTAGCCATCACGGGGCTCGGCAACGTCGGGGCTGGATTCCCCGTCAGCATCGTGGGGCTGTTGCTTGCCCTTCAGGCGACGAGGGTCAAGTTCGAGTTTGATGATGTGGTGCGTTCAGCAGCAATAGATGGGGGGAGGGTGGGAGATTTTCGGGCGGGGTGTAATCTGGTGTGATTTGTTTGCGCCCTTGGTTTATGCTCCCGACGCAAATGAAGGGAGAAACTGCTTGTATGTTATGTGTCGGCAGGATGATAAGCAACAGGGTCGTCTGTGGTGCTTGATATTGAGATTATTGACAGTGTGACAACGTTTAATAAGGGCTAATGGTGCTGCAGCAGCGATAGTGTTGGGGAAGGTCGCGGCCTTGGAAGCCCTACAAATGCTGGCAAGGCGTGCTCTTTCTGCGTACGGCAGTACCATCACCCCTTCTCGCTAGAGGCCAGAATCAGGCCAAGACACACTCCGTTGTGGGCGTTTTCACTTGACCCTAGCGAATTCGGCTCTTTTCGATTTTTTCGGTACATACCTGTATCTAGAGCGGTTGTTCTTGGTCTTTTGTTCTCAACGGAGAACATACCCACCATTCGGGGGGCGCACAAACGAGATCCCTCCGTTGAGCAGGCCATGAGAAGGGATGACCAAGTCATTATTTCTCTCGTCCACGAACTGTGTCGATTTTACACGCGAAGGACTTTCAGACCATGGTCGCGCTAGGATTATGAAGCCACCAGCCTTGACCGTCCAAAGCGTTCCACCGAGGAGATCTGTACCAGGTAGACCGTGAGGTTGATGAGATGCAATCTGCGTTGGTCGATGCATACGTGCCGCGTTTGTGTTGAGGTGTGTATGTGTGTTGTGTGCATCTCTCTCGGGTAATCGGTCTCTTGTCTTCCTTTCTCTTGGGCGTCTTTCGTCGCGGCAGGCGATGGAGGTGAAGATAGGCGAGAAGCCGGACGAGCTGGAGAGCTCGGGCGAGAACGCCTTTGTCGGTGGAAAGTCGCGTTGGAACTACGACACGTGGACGAACTGGGAGGTCTACCCGAGCGAGAAGCTGCCCATTCTCATGTACTTCAAGGAGACGCAGACCAAGCCGGAGGGACAAATTGTGAGGGATTCATCGAATGTTTGATTGTGTTCGTGTCGTTTTAGACGATGTTGTCCGTATAGTTGATAGTGGTTGGGAGGAGTGTTTCTGTTTTTTTTTGTGTAGAGTGCTGGGTGGTGATGATGAAACGTCTTCTGAATGCGGCATCGTTAGAAGAATTCCGGTGGTTGATCAGGGTGATGCCGACATTGCACGTGTGTTGTGTGCCATGCTGATTAAGCTATGCTACCGCTCTTGTCGTTCCATGGCGTCCTTCTACACCGATTCTTTGTGGCGCAATTCCACGACGCTCTCAACGCCCCCCACACACACACACATGTCCGTCAACTGACGTCTCCCCTCTTCCTCCTCCGCCCTTGATTGTCTTCCTTCATTCGCACTGTTGTATTAGCATTTCTTCCCTTTCATCATGGAAGCCGACGTACTTTTGCAAGAAGTCCGGGCACGCGTGCCGCAAGTCGTCAAGTAATCCGACAATATCTACCAATCGCCGACGGCTAGAAGGCAGTAGCTACATCGGCACCCGATCGAGACTAGAGTAGATCGGAAGAGTTTTCGCTGCGAATTGGCCTGTCGCTCATGGAAGCCGACGGCAGCAAAACCTGCCATCAAAGTTGACTTGAGACTGTTTTTCTGTGCCGCGAGCTTGTAGATGGAGAATATTTTAGAAGTCGAGGGTTGGCACGTTTTGTCTCTCTTCTTTGCAGTTGGTCTGAGATCCCGGTGGGGCGGCATACGTTCTGAATTGTGTAGATGGAGAATATTTTAGAAGTCGAGGGTTGGCACGTTTTGTCTCTCTTCTTTGCAGTTGGTCTGAGATCCCGGTGGGGCGGCATACGTTCTGAATTGTGTAGATGGAGAATATTTTAGAAGTCGAGGGTTGGCACGTTTTGTCTCTCTTCTTTGCAGTTGGTCTGCGATCCCGGTGGGGCGGCATACGTTCTGAATTGTGTAGTCAGCCAATTTGACGAACTTTTTTTTTTAAGTTCATTCGTAGACGAATTTGTCACGTTTCAAGACGCCGTGAACCGTTGCGACAGCGCTTGTCAACGAATAACAGACAGGCAGCAAAGGTAGGGTGACCCTTAATGACTGATGTCTGCCATGTAACTTGGGTGATCGATTTATACTCCTATATAGTTCCAGCGTGTCCATGGTGACAGGAAAAGCACGTCGTAACCGAAGGATGTATTGAGAGAACCGGGGGCGTGTGAGATTTGCTGAACATGTGTAACTGTAAACTCCACTTTTCATTCTGGGAAACATGAAAATGTTGTGAAGGTGGAAAGAGACTTCGTGGCACCTTGAGAGTTGAGAGTGCATGGTAGAAGACATACGCGCTTTACCGCCTGCACAGTTTGTTGTTTGGTGTGAGAAGTATGAGCTCGGTCAGACGACAAACAGCCAGTGGCTAACAGTTCCACTGCTACCCTCGTTCGTAGCATTGTCTGTCTCGGCAGAGGTTGTCGATTGAATCTCTCCGGAGGGAAAAAAGAACGCGAAGTAGAGGTGAAGAGCGCCTAGGCCTAGGTCGTATGTGCACTCAAGAGAGAGGGAACCAAGAGACTCGTTCTCGCGTTAAGTGTTGAAGGCAAGCACGGCAGGAGGAAAGACGGCGAATTCCTCCCATGTAACCCCGGCCGGTTCGCACTATATACGCGAAAAGTGTAGATTGGCGCCTAGTATACATGGGACAAAATAACAAGTAGAAGAGGGTAACGAACACATAGTCTGATGTGACCGGACCTTGCGAGAGGGGACCACGGCGGTGCCAGCAGCTTTTTCCGTAGAGAAATGACGCATTTCTTCCGTTGAGGAAAAACAAATTGGGTCCCTGACGTGCAACAACTTCCGAGTCGATGGAATGAATGATGTTTACCGTCGTTTCTTGTGTTACAGCCTGCGGTGGGTGTGCAACAAGACTAATAGGGAAAGGCTGGAAATCGAAATCCACACCCTTGAGTAATAAAACCACTGCACTACGACGCTAGTACGCTTGACGTTTGGTAAAAGAAGGGATGCTGGTGCCGTTGTTGGTCCAAGTCTGCTGCAACCAGTCGAGGACAAGGAAATTGACTTTTAGAACGGTTCGTGTGTTTGCATCCATGACGCTTTTTCAGGCTCCCCTTCGACAATTTGACGAGCTGAATCTGTAGACTAGACCAAGTTCCATGGTGCAGTTTGCGACAAGACTATTTGCACTGCGTATGGCCTCCGCTGAGAAGCCTTGGCCCTGCCCTGAATGACCAACACCAACCAACACGAAGGCGGTCCAACAACCTTTGCATGTTGTGACTGACGGGTTCACGCGTGGGGGGAAGGGCTGATGCCTAATCAAATAAAAAATCCTGCAGCACTTTAGTAGCGACGACACTGAAGACGACTTGACTCGCCCAATGGCAAGCCGCTCTCCCACACAAATACACACAGCAGCACACCAACTCCACGAAACTAGGCATCATCGATGACGCCCGTAGTAATTATTGAGGGCAGCCAATCAGCTACTTACACACTATCCCCGTGTCAATGGGTTTCGATCCCTACCCCACCGACAAACCAAAGACACAAGAAGACACTCAAATAAACGCCAAATCCCCAAGAGCTTCATCGACCAACATATATCTGACAACACAGCTGGACGAGCACGCGTACCACAAGCACCACAGCAAAGCGCTACACACAAAACATCGCATCTACTACACGATCTGCGGCCTTCCCCCAGAAAAAATTGGCGGAGGAGAGCCCTGGACGACCGGCCTATCGAAAACTTCGCGGGCTGCGGCGGCAGCATCCCTCTTACCGCCCCCTGCCACCCCCTTATCCTCGAACAAACCATCCGCAGCTTGGAGATCGTCGAAAGTGGGTGATGAGGACCAACGGTCGCCCCGGCCCCGCGCCTCAGCCACAGCCAGAGACCCATCGCCGCCGTAGTCTAGCACCGACTCAGCCCCACCGGCATCAGCGTCGCGCTCGGAGAATGATTGTGCCTCGCCCACCGCCGTCGCAGTCGTTACGTCGCTACCGCCCCCGAGACCTTCGTGACTTGAAGGCGCTTCGGTCGGTCGCTCCGCAGGCTCCTCCACAGCCGGCGGTGGTGGCGGCGGTTGCGAGTCCACCGCCTCCGGCGTTGTGGTACCAGTTTCCGCCAAGCCTTTCAAGAGAGGTCGCAAGCCGGGGCACACAGGCTCCAGGATCTCCCTCGTCTCGTGGAGCAAACGTCGGGGGTCGCCTCCTCGCGATCCGCCACCGCCCGACGCATCGCCAGGACCTAGCGAGGGATGGTAGCAAGCGCGGGCATGTAGGGGGGGGG